ACTTGGACCGTGGAATATCAAACGAGCGCTAGACGGGACGTCTAGACGACAGGCGTCCCACGGAATCGGGTCACCGATGTTTTCCTTAGATCCGGAGACGCCTGTCGTCCGAACGCGCCGTAAGTGGGGACTCTTCGTCGGTCAGAACGCTACATACATATACGATACGCGTTAACCGAGGACCATTTCCATACCGTTACCCTGTTAAATACTCTCCCTCTTTGGTGCATTCGATTCGTTATTACGTCTCACGATCGTACGTTACGACGATTACGGTGATCTATGATCTCGCTATGCGCATATTCCTTGCGGTAACACGGAGAGCTCCCAGTGCCACGGCGATTCGACCGCAAATCAGACGCGTTACGAGCCCTCCTACCTGGAAAACGTTTCCTTGGGGCCACGGGCATCGAAACGCGAGTCGTTCGCGGAATCCTCTTGGTGGCTGTTTCGTCCTTCGCAATGCAGGATGTGTTGGAATTTTATTTGGTACACGAACTATTTGGCTCTTTCTGGAGATTTTACCGTATCGATAGTCCGGGGATATTCCTTTTAAATTACGGTTTAGAATGTGGGATATGATCTTTAGTGGAATTTCGACGTATCTAGCCACACCTGAATACGAAAGATAGGTCGATTCACAGACGATATATAAGAATAGACATAACATCTTATGGGATTTGGTGTCCCACACAAATCACGCTGTTTCGAGCACACCTCTACAGAAAAGTTTCCGATTTCAGGTACTACCTTCGACACCGTCGTAACGCACAGCATACACACACTCGTGATTGCATATAACGATACGTACATATATTATTGGCTCGGTTTACCTAGCTAGAAATGGAATACTGAAATGGCACGGGGGCTCCTGACGCTCCCGAAGCATAGAACAGAAAATTAAATTGCATGTTAAGTGTATTGTTATATCTCGTCTGTGGTCGATTACAGTGATCAAGAACAGAGAACGAGCTCAGTTGGGTATACTGAAACAAAGTTTTAACCATTTCGTTTCCACTGTTACCATATGGTTGCATATTCTAAATTACGAAATCAAATGTTAGTACCTATTATGTTTATTTTTTCGTACCTGTGAGTACCCTCACGAGCAAACTCGACTTCCGCTAGGAGAAAAACTGGCGTTGGAGAAGGGCCTCTTAAAATTTGGTATCGGGAATTATTGAAATTTATGCCAAATTAACATTCGATTTAATATTTATTTCTTTTCATTCTTAACTTTTACAGTAAAAGTACAGATAAGTACAGTTTCCCTTTCGTTTCTGGAAAACTATCGACAACAATGTAATCCTGGAGTCTGCAGACGTCAAGAAAATCGTAGGGCAAGGGGTTAATAATGTCATAAAAACGTACAACTAGAAGAATCAGTCTTTTGACCGATATCTGCACGATCTACTTCCATTCCAGTATTGTCCCGTTATATCTGCAATTTTTCATCTCGTTTCATTTTTTATCGTCAACAGTTCGTAACGGAATAACGCCGTTGCAGAATCAAGAATAGAAAAAAAGTTTCTCATTTTCATTCCTTTCCGCGCGTCCGCTTCGTTCCTCGCCGCCTCGAGTTTCATGCGGTAATTCACGTTTCCTGTACGTGCGCGTAGAGGCCTGTATAATGCGACCGCAGAAGACCACTCGTGCTCGTTGTTGCCGATGCGCCTCTCTCGCGTTGACCGTTTCAACCGGCTGCCGATGAAGTAACGATCAAGTTCGCTCTTATCGTGTCCCGAACACTTTCGATTTCCGTCGGCGAAACGTGCGCGGCCACTCTGGTCTCTCCTCGCGATTGGAAACGTTCTCGATCACTCTGACGGTTTTTGGATCATCCGTATCATCGGTCGTTTGCGCAATCGAACGGTCGTTCGACGAATTTTCGTAGACATCTCACGCCCCTTAATCGCCCCAAATCCAACGTCTGATTCGCGTAAACGTGTCCGATTAACGACGGCCTGTTTGTTTTATCGGAACAATAATTCCTCGAATATATAACACCGCCTCGTGTATACGTGTGTTTATATGATAACCAGCGTCTCGTCGGTGTTTCTTCAGTTAACAAAACAACTTTTTTCCAACCGTAACTTGTTCGACGTTTTCGAGGTTGTTCCCTTGTTTATGTCATGTTGTGTCTTTTGCGACGTTGGTATTCATTTTTGCTCGGGACTTCCGACCTTTCCTAATATTAATGTTTCTCGAGATGATAATGAGTAGACCGCAGATCTTTATGCAAATTCAGAATTTTATAGGCTAGCTTGAGAACCTGAAATTATACCAGAGCTTTGTTTCTTTTATTAATGGGTTTCTTTGGGTCCAAAGTAGAGTAAACTGCATACGAATCTTCACGAAAATTTTTACTGTATTGTTTCTTGCACACCCACATTCACGATAAATGCATAAAATCCTACCATGAAGAGTTACAGAATTACATCTGTTTATTAATTCCATTAGCAAGACGCAGTTATCCCATACCCATCCCCAGATCTCGATAACTCGTAATTCTTGATCGTCTAGACCTTGTAATCCA